GAGAGAGGGGGGAGGGGGCAGGCTAGCAGAGATCATTTGGGATGAGAGAGAGGGGAGGGGGCAGGCTAGCAGAGATCATTTGGGATGAGAGAGAGGGGGAGGGGGCAGGCTAGCAGAGATCATTTGGGATGAGAGAGAGAGGGGGGGGGCAGGCTAGCAGAGATCATTTGGGATGAGAGAGAGGGGAGAGGGGGCAGGCTAGCAGAGATCATTTGGGATGAGAGAGGGGGAGGGGGCAGGCTAGCAGAGATCATTTGGGATGAGAGAGAGAGAGGGGAGGGGGCAGGCTAGCAGAGATCATTTGGGATGAGAGAGGGGGGGAGGGGGCAGGCTAGCAGAGATCATTTGGGATGAGAGAGAGGGGAGGGGGCAGGCTAGCAGAGATCATTTGGGATGAGAGAGAGAGGGGGAGGGGGCAGGCTAGCAGAGATCATTTGGGATGAGAGAGAGGGGGAGGGGGCAGGCTAGCAGAGATCATTTGGGATGAGAGAGAGGGAGAGGGGGCAGGCTAGCAGAGATCATTTGGGATGAGAGAGAGGGGGAGGGGGCAGGCTAGCAGAGATCATTTGGGATGAGAGAGAGGGGGAGGGGGCAGGCTAGCAGAGATCATTTGGGATGAGAGAGAGGGAGAGGGGGCAGGCTAGCAGAGATCATTTGGGATGTGAGAGAGAATTTGAGGAATTGCCAGGCAAAATAGCAGTGATCATTAGGTTCTAATGGTCACTGCAAGTGACCGTATCCCCTCGATATTACACATAGAGTCCCCTCCCGGGGTCTCCAATGATTGAGGGCCAATCCCCAGTGCCCTCCCCTCCTTATAAACTCCCATTTTTTTCCGGTCATGTGCTTCTCGGGGCTCCGAATATAAACCGAAAATCTCGGGGTGGCTGTCAGGGCACGGATGAAAGTGGCGCCACATGTTGCCCTCCAGGGAGAGAGAGAGAGCGAGAGAGAGGCGAGAGAGAGAGAGAGACGGAGTGAGGGACAGCAACATACACACCAACCAACACAATATGTGTTGCAGCCGAGAGCAAAGGACAAAACTTCGAACCAAAAAGCGATGAATTACATTCGAAAAAATGCCTCCACTGGGGCGATGGCACGAAACATTGAAAATAAAATGCGTGCTACGGTTGACGTCTAATAGATTTGCCATCGAAATTGATTTTGTCGATATTTTCTCGAAATTTTGAAGAAAATTTCTTTTTTTTTGCTAAATGTTTGAAATGTAGAATCGAGGCGAAAACGTACTGAAATTCCAATAAAAAAATTATTTTTGACCAAATAAAATTAGCCTTTTGAAATACGCTCTCGCTCCTCCCAAATAAGCTCTGCTACCTTGCCTGCATAAATAACAATTCTTCTGTAGCCTCAGAAAAAATGTGATGTTTCAAAAATCCAAGAAGTCGCGTAAGTAGCACGAGCATTAATCTTTTTTCTTGTTTTCGTAACATTTTTGCTGCTATGCTGGCTCATAAAATGAGCATGGATTTCCCAATTAATCTCCCGGCGAGAAACAAAGGAAATCGAAGGAAACAAGCATACAATTTCTCCCAGATACTCCCGAGGTTGAAAGTCTTTAGCTATATTTTAAGTGGCAAAACAATAAAAACCTTGGAAAATAATTTTTAAGTGCAAATTTTAGTGGAAAATCGGTCATTTTTCGTTGAAAAAAAACGATATTTTTTGTATATTTTTCAGCAAATTTTCAATGGTTTTTGCGCTTAGGAATCATGACAAACAGCTTATAAACACTTTTTCTATTTATATTACCAAAATTAGACCCTCAGAAATAACCCCCCTCCCCCGATAATGCCAAAGCACAAAATTTCTATGTTCATTTTTGTTTAGCTCTACAGTAATCCTACAGTATCCACCGCTTCCAGAAGGCATCAATGACCATTTCCGGGGCTGATTGTTGCCATTTTCGCGACCCGATTCACAGCCAGAAAGAATTTCTATAAACAAAACGACGGGCACAGGCAAACAATTTTTTCTAAACAATTCCCGGGGTCGAAGAGCGCGCTCGCGATTTTTTGTGGCGTTTTCTAAACTGTGCCGAAATAAACGGAACTCGCGGGAGAAACGAAAAACAGAAAATGTTTCAGCAAAAAAGTGGCCCGGCGAAGAATCTATCGATTCAATTCGTAGTGCTTGAGATGCTGAATTCTTCCGGGCGTAACCTTGAGGGTTCTGGACTGGTAGTGGGGGGGGTTTCACAATTTTTTCTAAACAATTCCTGGTATCCGAGCGCACTCCCGATTTTTCCGCGTTTTCTAAACCGTGCGGGAATAAACCAAATTCCCGGAGAAACGGAAAACAAAAGAATGTTGCAGAATAAAAATTGGCCGGGACAGGCTTCTGGCAATTCAATTTCACGTTCCATTTTTTTCTGGAGGTAATCATGAGGGACTGGACTGTTAGCGGGGGGGGCTTTATCAGGGCAAACCACCTTATGTATGTATTTTTACAGTTTTTACTGGTTTTTGATCGTTAGAAAGTAAAGTTAAATAGGGGAAAAATATTTTTATTCAGTTTTTCTAAACAATTCCCGGGGTCGAGAAACGGAAAACAGGAGAATGTTTCAGCAAAAAGACTGGTTGGCAAGGAATCTTGAAATTCAATTAGTGTTGCGATCGCATTCTTCTGCATGTAATTTTGAGGGTACTGAACTGTTAGCGGGGGGGACACCAATTTTTTTCCACCTTTTGATGCTAGCTTATGTATTTTTACAGTGTTTTTACTAGTTTTTGATCGTTAGAAAGTAAAGTAAAATAGGCGAAAAATATTTTTATACACGTTTTTCTAAACAATTCCCGGGGTCGAAGAGCGCGCTCCCGATTTTTTCGCGTTCTCTAAACTGTGCGGGAATAAACGAAATTCCCGGAGAAGGGAAAACAACAAAATGTTTCGGAAAAAAGATTGCTTGGCAAGGAATCTTGAAATTCAATTTCGTGTTTCGTGTTGGTTTCTTCTGAACGTAATTTTGAGGGTACTGGACTGTTAGCGGAGGGGGGTGCGAAGCCACTTTTTGTTTTTCCACCTATACTAGCTGTTGATGGTATATTATGTGTTTTTACAGGGTTTTTACTAGTTTTTGATCGTTGGAAAGACAGAAATTTTTTTACAATCTTTCCTAAATAATTCCCGGGATCGAAGATCGCGCTCCCGATTTTTTCGCCTCTCTAAACTGTGGGGGAATAAACAGACTCGCGGAGAAACCAAAAAAAAAAACAACAAAAAATCCGAAAACAAAAAAAATGTTTCGGCAAAAAGATTGCTTGGCAGGGAATCTTGAAATGCAATGTCGTGTTGGATTCTTCTGGACGTAATTTTGAGGGTACTGAACTGTTAGCGAGGGGACCACCCTTGGTTTTTCCACCTATACCTCAAATTCAAAGAAACCTGGTAAAAACCGCAAGTTGTGAAAAATATAACGTTTCAGAAAAAAACCAACCCCGCGAGGACTTGACGCATGCCATATTTATTCACCCGCTCGAACCCACAAATACAAAATACAAAATATCGAAAAATTGATCGTTACCGGTCTGTTAGCGGGGGGGGGGGGACTAATTAAATTGAAAAATTGGGCTTTTTCAAAAATCTAATTTGAAAGAGTGGCCAAAAATGTCAAATTTTCGAGTTGTCAAATGCCAAAAAAAATATTTTTCAATTTTCTAGCAATCCAAAACTCCTAAAAACATGATAAAAATACACTACCGACTATCAGCACGTAGGTATAGGAGAGCAAAAACAAAGCTTAGTGACCCCCCGCTAACAGCCCAGTACCAATTGATCTAGCAAAAATACAGTAATAACAATTGTATATTTATTTCGTGGCTTTTGAATCTGGTCCTTCTAGAGCGATAAACGGAATTCCGGAGGGTAGAAAATGGGAAAAGTGTTTCATAAATCTAAAAATCAAATTCGAAGAAATTGCCCCCAAGAGCTCGGCATCAGAAAAAAAAGCAAATGTTTCAGAAGAACATGGGGCGTGCCTGGAATGTATCAGTTCAATAGCCCACAGTTATGGAATTCATTCACCGTTTTCGAAGATTTATATTATTTTTTGGTTCTTTAGGATTCCGGGGGGGGAACCAATTTTTTTCCTGGTGATCCCGGTTGTCAGTCAGTAATCAAATATAGTGTTTTCGAATTGTTTTTAGTAAGTTTTAACTATATTTAAAACAGAATAACTTTCAGAAAAATTTAGAAAAATGTTTGAAAAAGTCGAAAATTTGGTCATTTTGGGTCTTCCCCCTCCGCGAATCCTAAAGGTTCTATAGGATTGTTCGACCCAATTTTTGTTTTTTTTTCAATTTTTTTTGGTTAAAATTTGTGTAGTTTTTATGCTCAGGAATAGGTAAAGACAAGTTAGAAACGCATCAACAATTTATAAAAAATCTAGGCTTGTGCCGAAAAAAATTTGCTTCACCCCCCGGAATCCTAAAGAGCCTATTTTTATATTTTTTCTTTTATAGAGGCGTATAGAATCACCGAGAAAAATATGGTTTCGCCCACTAATAGTTTTGGACATGTAACCCCAAATTAAAGAAATCATCAAAGCCGCCATCCATCTGAAAAAATAAATGTTTCGGCAAAAAATTGGCCCGCCAATGAAACTGCAAATTCAATATGCAGCATTTAGCGCATGCCATATTTATTCACCCGCTCGAATCCACAAATACAAAATACAAAATATCGAAACGGCACTGGACTGTCAGCGGGGGGGACTAATTAAAATGGAAAAAATTGCGCTTTTTGGTCAAAAATTTAATTTGTAAAAATGACCAAAATGCCTTAAATTAATCTAGAAAAAAAATTAAATCTAAAAAAAGCAAATGTTTCAGAAGAATAGGTGCCGCGCCTGGAATGTATCAGTTCAATAAGTAGCATTTATGGCATGCCACATTTATTCACTCGCTTCGAGCCATCAAGCAACGTGTAAAAAATCACAAAAATGAATCTGGAAAACAACAGTAACAATTGCATATTTATTACGCGGCCTTTGAATCTATCCATTGTTGACGCCGCTCGCGAAGCTCTCGATCCCACGCGGTAAATGGGGCCATCGTGAATTTGCCGACGGTGGAGGAGAAGAACTGCGAGAGGTCGACGTCTGAAAATGAGGAATTGATTCCGAAAGAATCTCTGCTAGCCCTCTTTTTTTGGTTCTTTGGCATTATCGGGTGGGGAGCAAGTTTTTCCTATAAAATTAACGGAAATGCCTTCAAAAAGTTTGTAAATTATTAATATAAACATTTTTATAGCAAGCAATGTGAAAAATATCGATATTTCTGACGGGTTTTTATCCAATTTCGACTTTTCAAAAAATGTAAAAAAGTTTTTAGGGAGATATTCTCGTATAAATCCGGTTTATTTTACTAAACACTAATAAAACAATTTATATTGCGTTATTAGGCGTTTTCGGAATTATAAAAAATGCCCCCCCCCCCCGATAATGCAAAAGAACCGTTATTCGATTCCACAATCTCGCTAGCCCACCCAAAACCCAAAACCGACCATATTTCTGCTCGTAGTCAAACGCCTGGGCGATCATGTCGAATTTGTCGAGGTGGAAGACCACCTGAAAAAGCGGGTAAAGGGGGAAAAAGCGAACAAAGCTGACCTGTGCCTCCTTGGTGGTGCGACCCTCGTACTCTCGCCACAGCTGCACCCAGTCCTCCCCCGTCTCCGCCGGCAGGTAGGTGGCGATTTTTTGCATCGCCTGAAAAGAGGAATATACCTTTTCACATTGTTCGCTTTTTCTAAAATCATGTTTCAAATTGACATATCGTTTTTGCGATTTCGACCGCTACATAATCTAAGCCCAAAAGTATCTAGTAACTTTCAAAAATTTCAAAAAGTCAAAATTTTGTCCAAAACTGGATAATTTTGGTGGAAAAATCGATATTTTTTGCATTTTTTAATAGCAATTTGTAAAGTTTTTACGCTTATGAATTGGTAAAAAATAGTTTAGAAACACTTCCTCCATTTACATCAGAAAATTGGATTCTTAGAAAAAAGTATTCCCCCCCCCCCGATAATGCAAAAGAACCCATAACAACCTTATGCTCCAGCGAGTGCTTGTCCTCCTCGGTGACGCCGCAATGCGGGGTGATGTCGCCGACGATCGCCTCGGCAATGTCGTGCACCAGGCTCATCCTGAAAAACAAACACAAGTAATTTGGAGGGGCAGGCTAGCAGAGATCCTTTAGAGGAACAGAAACGCAAAAACGCACCGAACGCATCGATTGACGTCGAGCCCGGGGATTTGGCCCTCCAGCGCCATCGACAGCACGGCCATCCGGTACATGTGGCACGCCACCGTTTCGGGCTCGTCGATCTGGAAAAGGTGTAAAATAGTGTAAATTTCACAGAAATTGGTTGGGCAGCTTTTAAATAGAGTAATACTAAAAAACGGCTTGGCGAACTTGTAATTTTAAAAAGTTAGGGACGAAATAGCAATTCTGCCAGATAACAAACTGCCGATTTCTTACCTTAAACTTCGTCCATCCGGTCCGTTTCAGGTGCTTGAGGTTGTCGCAAATCTTCAGCAGCTCCAGCACGTTCATCTGGAAGAAACCAAGTTCAGTTTCACGCGCTAAAATCGTATAAAGCCGGGAAAAGTTGAAAATCGCCCAAACGAGCCTATTAGAAAAATAAAGACCCATTAGCTAAAGCTTTCCAAATCTTCAAAAAAAACGAAAGAAGGAAAACGTGCCGTTAAGGCAATTAGCAAATGTCAGACGAAGTGGACGCTTGTAATATGTACGTAACTAGAAGTATCCTAATCCTAAAATAGCCACTTTCGGTTGTAAAGAATGCTCTAATAATAACTAAATACGGTGTTTTAATACATAGCTTAACTTAATAACTATTATTATACAAAGTTAATAATCGTTAGTGAAAAAACTATTACGAAGCAAAATTTCGCTTCAACTCTATCCAATTACGCCATGAAAAGCCATGTCAACTGTATCGCTCCGTAGCGCCCGGTGTCAAACTCGCAAAACCAAAAGCCTCTCGATTCGCAAAAGTAAGTTTATTTCAGTTAACTAAACAAAATTCGGGTGGGCGGGGGATGACGCGGACAATTGGAAAAAAAAGATTCACAGGGCGACAATCAATCCATAATATGTCATCAATAAATTATACACACAACCGGCCCCTCTTTTTGGCGGCGCGGCAAACAGAAAAAAGAAAAGGCCAGAAAAAGCCGAAAAACAGCACCGAATCAGGCGAATAACTAGGGGGATGAGGGGTGAGAAAACGCGAGACAAGTCCAGAAATGAAGTTGTAAGCAGAGGATGAGAGTATCCGACAAATTGGGTGAAGTGAGTGTGTTGGTCAATGGCACGACGACGCGTCGATCAATCCTGGAAATGGGCTGTTAGCGGGGGGACCAGTTTTTCTTCTCCACTTATAGCTAACCATTCAAAAAAGTATTTTTTATAGCGTTTTTAGTAGCTTTTGATTGCCAGAAAATCTTAAAATATTTTTTTAAACTTTGAAAATTCGAAATTCGGCCATTTTTCTGGTAATTTTTGATACTTTTCACCAAAGGTATTTTGATAGCGTTTTTAGTAGTTTTCGAATTGCTAGAAAGTTATAAAAAATATTTTTACATTTTGAAAATTCGAAATTTTGACCTTTTTTGGTAATTTTTCATAGAATATCTACCAAAAACTCAAAAATTTTGATTTTTCTATCGATTTTAAAGCTAAAAACTACGTAAAATGCTATAAAAATGGGCTAAATTTTGTTACAGAGCCGTAAAAAAACAGCGAAAAATTTGTTTCCCCCGCTAGTAGTCCAGAAGCGATACCTTGCCACATTCCGAGTCTCGTTCTCGTCGCCTCAAGCCGAGATGATGCGGCCGCGCTGATCGGTGCTGGCCACAATGTTGCCGTCGGAGACGACCATTCCGCTGCACGAGACGTGCACGCGCTTCAGCCCCTTCTTCACGTACGCCTTCTCGTCCTCCTCGATGGCGATGTCGATCGACGGGGTGCGCAGCGCGACGAGACCCGTCTTCCAGTTGCAGCACACTTGACGGGGACGGGCGTTGATCTAAAAAAATATATAATTCTTGAAGCCAGAAATTACAGTGATCTCGCCGTCCGGGAAGCAGTCGATGCGAATGTCGTGCACGCGAACGGCGTAGCTCCCGTCGGCCGAGCGGCTCTCGATGACGGCCTGGTTGACGATTTCGCGACACAGCTCCACTTGCTAAACGAAAGCTTTTTAAACGAGTAAAGGGATTTTGATTACGAAAATATCAAAGATTTTTCGACGAAACTGGCCGAATTTTGGCCAAAATTTCGATTTTTCAATTAGTTTTACAGTTTTTAGATAGTTTTCTCAAAAAATTAGCTAATAGAAATTTTGAGACGACAGCGCAAAAGAGCCGAAAATAAAGAAAAGCCTAAACAAAAATATTAAAAAAATATACCGTAGGTCCAGTCTGACTCTCGGTGTAGAACGACCAGGTGGCCCAGTCGCGATCCCCGTTCATCGTCGCAAACTGCTTCACGTCGATCGGCACAATTACCGGAGCCTAAAGAAAAGCATCAAAATCTAACGTAAAAAATTACCCTATATTGCTGCACGTTCTGCGACGAGCTGATGAGGTACCCTTGAGCGAGATGGGCCATCGTGAAGAGCACACCATACGTGTCGAACACTGCCATCTTGTCGTTTTCAGCCGCTAGAAGCAAAAATTAAGCAAAAAAAAAGGCAAAAACGTACTGAATCGGGCACAAATGTTCTGGTCACAGTGGACGATCTTGGCGCGCGGATGCTGGACGACGTTCGAGGTGCCCTTCGTGTTCAGCGTGATCTAAAATGCGTTAGTCAAAAAACTGAGAAAATTCCTTACGGCAAACTTGTCGGGGGCGACGATGTGCAGACACTTGTCGACGCTCATCTCCAGGTAGCACTTGGGGGCGAGGATGAGCGTGATGACGCCGTTCATCCCGGTGGTGATCATCGGGTACTGCTGGGCGGCCGACACGTCGCTGAACGGCATCGGCGGCTGCACCTTGCTCTGCGAGCGAACCGTCGGTGAGTTGTTGCCTAAAAATGGTAGTTGATATACGAAAATAAATAGCTTTAATTTCGAGCATTTTACATTTCAAAGGCCTATAAAAATTTATTGTTAACTGCCAAAAAAGTTTAAAAATAGAACACTAAAAAACCATTAGAGAACAAGGGCCCGGAAAATTTTGAGAAAAAAGACACACGATTAAAAAGTTTACCAATTTGAGCAGCTCCCGAGGCGGGACGGTTGCGCCACGTCGGTTGGCCAACTTGGAACGACTTCTGGCCGTACGTCGGCGGGTTGCTGGTGGTGGTGCTTGGCTGGTAGGGGCGAGTGCCCAGCAGTCCGGCGCGTCCATTCCCGCGTCCGCCCGTGATGTTGCTGCGAGTGCTGGGCGTGGCGCGATTGTTGTTGTTGTTGTGAGATCAGCCTGCAGCAGCTTCACCGGGGTGTTACTAAAACAAAATATAAAAATCTACACAAATCCCAATACTTTTGTTGTTGCTGCTGCGTGGGCTTGACGTGGGTGATTTGCTGGATCTGGCGGAAGGTGTACGGGGCCCCGCCGGCGGCTACAGCCTCAGTGCGTGGCGTGACGATGTGTGGAGGTGGCGGTGGAAGCGGCTAAAAAAAGGGCTATAAACTACACTGGTGGACATAATTATAGCCTCAGTGAAAATTTTTCGAAAATCTCTATTTCTGGCAGTGTCCATTGAAAGCGTTCTATAAGGAAAAGTAGCGGTATTCTATCACAATTTCATACCACAAACCCGTTTTGTGATTCTCTGGACAAAAATTTTTTTAGGAATATTTTCCCAAAAAAGGCACTTTGAAAAGGGACATAATTATAGCCTCACTTGGGTAACATTTCAATAAAAAATTAAATACTCGCACAAATCAATAAGAAACAATTTCAATAATCTTTGGCTACACCATTTCATGTAATTTGATGGGGGGAGATGCCTCTCCAAGCCAGAATACAGGCGGGTGATCGGCTTTTTGCTTGACGGGATGCGAGGTGGAGACAATCCTCTGTTACGAAGCGATACTCTTTTCTTCTGCTTAGATTTTGAATACCGGGGAGCTTTGGACATGGCCAATCACGTTACAGTCAATAAAATTACCCGCCGACGCTAAAAAACCCACTTTTAAGGGGTTAGTCCGACTCTGGGGCACATTTGGCTCGAAGAATTAAGGCTTCATCTTACTCTTAAATCGGATTCTGATCCTGATTTCGATTGGAAATGTGCTGTTTCTTGAGTTGAACAATTGGAAATTATTGACACGTTCCTTTAAGTCAAGGTCAAGCATCATTTCCTTCCTGCTCGTGAAGAACTCATCTTCCAAACGGGCACAGCAACACTTTGAAATTTTTTTCGGCCAAATCGGTTTTTTTTCTGCGCAATACAAAGCGAAACTTTTATGGATGGCTACGCGAGAGCCTCTAACCATTGGAAACAATGATCTGGAGAATTTTGGGGGGCCCGAAGTCTACCGTATCTTCCTCAAAACCGTCATCTTCTGTGACGGGCGAACTCAACACGATTTCCGCAGTGGCGTTCATCCGCTTTGGCGCGACTCGTTGCGCTGCGGATCAGCACATTTCCAATCGAAATCAGGATCAGAATCCGATTTAAGAGTAAGATGAAGCCTTAATTCTTCGAGCCAAATGTGCCCCAGAGTCGGACCAACCCCTTAAAAGTGGGTTTTTTAGCGTCGGCGGGTAATTTTATTGACTGTAACGTGATTGGCCATGTCCAAAGCTCCCCGGTATTGAAAATCTAAGCAGAAGAAAAGAGTATCGCTTCGTAACAGAGGATTGTCTCCACCTCGCATCCCGTCAAGCAAAAAGCCGATCACCCGCCTGTATTCTGGCTTGGAGAGGCATCTCCCCCCATCAAATTACATGAAATGGTGTAGCCAAACATTATTGGAATTGTTTCTTATTGATTTGTGCGAGTATTTAATTTTTTATTGAAATGTTACCCAAGTGAGGCTATAATTATGTCCCTTTTTCAAAGTGCCTTTTTTGGGAAAATATTCCTGAAAAAATTTTTGTCTAGAGAATCACAAAACGGGTTTGTGGTATGAAATTGTGATAGAATACCGCTACTTTTCCTTATAGAACGCTTTCAATGGACACTGCCAGAAACAGAGATTTTCGAAAAATTTTCACTGAGGCTATAATTATGTCCACCAGTGTACAATTAAAAAAGCCGTGTTATTTGCATTATCGGGGCGGAACGGTTTTTCTAGGGCCCAATTGTTTAAATATAAACAAAGGAATTGTTTCTAAACTGTTTTATGCCATTCCTAAACGCTAAAACTTTCCAAACTTCCATTAAAAGAACAAAAATAACGATTTTTGAACAAAATTTGGAAGTTTTGAAAGCTTTCAGATAGTTTTTCAGCTTAAATATAGCTTTATCTTACTAAAAACATCATTTAAATACTTCCTATTAAGTTACTAAGCATCCTAGACTTCTACAAAATTTTGTCCTCCATCGATAATGCAGAAGGCCCGAAAATTCCTCACATTCATCATGCCATCAACGCGGGTCGTTTGTGCGGCCTGCGAGCGCATCGAGACGCAATCGTCGGAGGGGGCCTCGCTCTTGCGCGTTTCCGACTTCTCCTCGTCCGTGCGGTTCAGGGTGAAGCCCTCGTTGTTGCCCGTCGAGCAGGAGAGCTGGCTTAGCTAAAACAAAAGTTTCAAATGGCAGAAAAGGATGAAAATATACCCCAGCCAGTAGGTGATGATGTTGCTGCTGCGCGGCGGCGGCCTCGTCCTCCGAAATCGACGGCATCTTGGCGCGAGTTGACATGCTGGCGGAGAAGACTGCGATAGTGGCGAGCGGCACAAGTGGTTAGTGCTTAGACCTGAAAGAAAAAGGTTAGTACAATCGAAACGGAGAGCAGAAAAATCGAAAGAGGAAGGTGAGAAAAGCAGGGCAAGTAAAAACAAGTAAAAGATAGAAGCGGAAGCTTTTGGAAACTACGGCTACAAATAAAACTGAGAGAGAAACAGCTGCGTAAGTCGAAATGCGCTAAAAGAAAGAAAATTCGAAACCGAAAACGCAGCGAACTTTACAAACGCATGGCGCTAATCAAAAGAGAGTTACCGCAATCGCCAAAAAGATGAAAGCCAGAAATCAATCGACTAAAAGGGCTAAATTAAACTATTTAAATCACCAGAAAAAGCATTTAAAAGAGTGAAAAAATAAAAAATGAGAAAGCATTCGATAAAAAAAAATTGAGACTCAAAAATGAAAATCAAAAATTTTCAGACCGAAAATGGAGCGGACTCCGTGCTACACTCTAATGACGCCGTATGTTACGGTAAATAGCGCGTTATAGCAAACATGCCGGAATTAGTATGCTTGTGTACTTAATAAAAAGGCTAAAATTAATTTTTTTAAATTTAAAAAGAGGCACTGGACTGTTAGCGGGGGGGGGACTAATCTACCTGTTAATAATAATTATTGTATTTTTAAAACGTTTTTCGTAGTTATTGCTTGCTAAAAAGTTAGAAAAATATTAAAACGTTTTTAAAAATTCGAAAATCTTCACGTTGTTTAGGAATTTTTATAGATTTTTTGACCAAAAAAGCCCAAATTGTTGGAAATTTTATAGTTTTTATGCGGTTTTTATATCTAAAAACTATATAAAACGTTATAAAAATGGGTCAAATTTAGTTATTCCCCCCTGCTAACAGTCCAGTACGAAAAAAAACACCGCTGTAAAAAAATTTGGTTCCAGCACACCGGAAGTGAGGCCATTTCCCTGCTGAATATCGGCCGACATGCCCCGATCGAGGCGCGAAATCCAGTCATTTCTACACATCCCATCGTCTCGACGGCCGGCCACCTATTTTGATAATGGGAATTCTCTTACATATTGTCCAATGGCCAATGGTTGCTGAACTGTTCTCGATGCTCTTCTTCAACGCCCTCCTCTGCATCGCCGTCATCGGGTGCGGCGGCAAGAAGAAGGTATTCAAAGCGTTTTCTTATGCTAATTTGGGCGGAATTTTGCCTATTTTTCTTACTTTTCTTAATCTAAATACTTTATCGACTCAGGCGAAGATTTTTGGATAGTTTACAGGCCTAAAATCTAGTTTAGCCCTGCCCCCTGAGCCGAAATTAGAGGTTTTTACGGTACTTTACCTTGCTTTGACTATTTTTTCGACTTAAATGTAATGTGTTCTTACTAATTAGACCACGGCGAACATTTTGGTCTACTTTACGACCCTGTAGCACAAAAGGAAGTCGAGATAAACACGTAGAAACGGCTAGGCGGTCAATCCTGAGTTTTCCAACTGAAATATGTTATCTTTTGCTATTTTTTCGACTCTAATGTAATGGATTCTGACTAATTAGGCCATGGAGAACATTTTGGTACCCTTAACGGCCCTGTAACACAAAAAGGCACCTAGAAAAAAGCTTAAAAACAGTAGGGTTTTTTACCGAAGTTTTTTGGGCCTTTAACTTCTATGAAATGACGATCTTTAGGAACCGGCGCTACCCTCGAAATCGCCGGGCAAGAAGACGATCGTCGGCGCGAAGACACCCACAACACCTACATCGCCGGGCGCCGCCGCCGCTGCAGCCGCCGCCGACCCGCCCGCCAAGTCGCCCGAGAAGCCCGAGGAGCCGAAGAAGGAGGAGGAGAAGAAAGAGGAAGAAAAGAAGGAAGAGAAGGAGGAGAAGAAGGAAGAGAAAGAAGAGAAGAAGGAGGAGAAAGAGGAGAAGAAGGAGGACGACAAGAAGGAGGAGAAGAAGGACGACAAGAAGAAGGATGAGAAGAAGAAGGAGGGCAGCAAGAAGGACGGCGATAAGAAGAAGGCGGATAACAAGGAAGTCAAGGTATACTTTAACGTCTTAAAAGTCGTATTTTCTTTTTAGGCACAAGCGACGCTGAGGCCGGCGGTACCGTCGGATAAGAAGGACGCGCCGGGCGGCGGGCTTGTCGAGAACCCGATCGTCTCGGCGGTCACCGAGGTCCGGCCGACGGTGCTCGAGGTGTTGAAGCCGGAAGAGAAGAAGGAGGAGGTAGTTTAGCTATTTTTTAATATTCTATTCGTTACAAGTTTGTTAAAAATACCAAAACGTCGATTTTTCGCCTGAAAACGCTCGTTTTGCGACCAAATTCTCAACATTTTAGTTTTTAAAACTATCTAACTGTTTTTCCACTTGATTAATACGCTTTTTTTCAGGAGAAGAAGCCCGACGACAAGAAGGAGGGCAGCAAGAAGAAGGAGACGAGCAAGAAGGACGACAAGAAGAAGGAAACGAGCAAGAAAGACGACAAAAAGAAGGAGACGAGCAAGAAGGACGACAAGAAGAAGGAAACGAGCAAGAAAGACGACAAGAAGAAGGAGGCCAGCAAGAAGGACGAGAAAAAGGATGAAAAGAAGGACGAGAAAAAGGAGGACAAGAAGGAGCCGAAGAGCGACGACAAGAAAGACGACAAGAAGGAGGAGGAAAAGAAGGACGATAAGAAGGATGAGGTAGGGATTTGGCTTTGTTTTCTCCACCTAAAATTGAACTTCTAGAAGAAGCCCGACGAGAAGAAGGAGGGCGACAAAAAGGAGGACAAGGAGGAGCCGAAGAGCGACGACAAGAAGAAGGAGGACGAGCCGAAGAAGGAGGAGGAGAAGAAGGAGGGTGACAAGAAGGAGGGCGACGAGAAGAAGGAGGAGAAAAAGGAAGAGGAAAAGAAGGAGGAGAAGGTAATGGTATTTTTAAACGCTTAATAAAAGGTAGATAGTTTTTTTTGATAGAATTTCGTTGATTTTGAATGAAAAGCGCTTTAAAAACTGAAATTTTGCTAAAACTGGACACTTCCGCGAGAAATTGGAATATTTTATACTTTTTCGTCGGACCTTTTGCGTTTGAGTGTTTAAAAACTTCAAAAGAGCGTAGAATCTTTTTTTCTATTTTTTGCACGAAAAATACTATTTTTGATGGAATTTTTACGTTTTATACACTATTTGTTTTTAGAAAGAGTAGCTGGCCGACCCGACGACGCGCTTCCGCCTCATCCACCCACCACCACAACGGCGTGAACACCATCGACACGCCGCCACCAACACCCAAAAATCCCAAATTTACCCCCGCACACCACAATGGATCTCTCGCCTTTCATTTAATACTCGCACCCCCGGCCCCCTTTTTTCACTCACCATACTCGCCTCTCTCCCTCGCTGTGTGATGAGAGTTTTTTTTGTCTGTGAGGAATAAAGCTTTTGAGCGAGCAATTGTTGTTGTTGTTTTTGAGAACGGATTTTTCAGCTTTTTTTAATTGATAATTTCGAGGAATTTTTAGCTTTTGTGGCGATTTTCTGAATTAAAAAAGGACTGGCACAACTCAATTTGAAGGACATTTTCGTGAACCTTGGTGGAACAGGATATGAAAACTGCCAAATTCAGCGCTTTTCTTGCCTATCGTCGCTAGATCTGCAAATCCTTCTAATTCCGGGTATTTTCTGTAGGTAGTTTGCGCGAATTTTGATGGAAAACGCCCAAATTCACCTTTTTTGTTGCGTTTTCGGTAATGACAAGTCTGCGTGATTTGACGGGGCAAGAAAACAGCTATTTTTCGCGTCGTTGAGTCGCTTTATGTTACCGTTTAATTGAGTTACTGAATTATGCTTTTGCCCCGGTAGAAATCTAGATCAAAGCACTCGCTAGTTTTTTTGGAGGTGTCTCGTAATCGCCGTTATTGATTTTAGGCATGGATACTTTATTCTGGCTTCAATATCGATCGGCTAGCTCTCCAATTATTTTTGGGATCGATCGCTGGCCAGCCGTTGGCGCGGCCGACTGCTGCGCTCGGTCTGCGCGCGAAGGTGGGCGCTGAGGCTGGCCGTCTGGCATTGGCACTCTTCTGGAAATTTGAGGTTAGAAAAGCCGCTTTTAAAACTCTATTATTTCTATAGGTGAAAATAATGAATAGAATAGGAACCTGTGTTGTCATTTAGCGGCAATAGAGCGTGGGGGCATTGGTAGTAGGCCTGCAGGTCGCCCTGGGCTTTTGCTTCGATTTCACATCCGGCGTCTCGCATGCAGCGCTCGCAGCCGACCAGTTTTCTAAACGTGAGGTTTTTCGGGTGTTTCTAGTGTTTCTAATCTATTTTTTTACGCTTTCGGATCGCCCAAACTTTGCAAAAATGTATTAAAAAGCTATTTTTCGCCCAAAAATTCTCGGTTTCCGACCAAAATTTCAAATTTTTAGTCGATTTCTATTTCTAAGTTTCTAAACAGAAGGGGTTTCTAGTATTGCTAGTGTATCCAAAGTGTTTTTTTACTAGTCCTGAACGTCCAAAACTTACAAGAATGTATTAAAAATGCAAAAAAAATAAATCTAGGTTTGCGCCCAAAAAAGTCTCGATTTTGGACCAAATTCGAAATTTCCAGGCGATTTTTAAAGTTTTCTAATTAGTTTTTCCGCTCTCACATACCTGCATGGATTGGCGAGCACCCTGACTTTCATATGTTCCTTCGTGCGCCCACATCTTGGGCATTGGGGCAGTTCGCAGGTGAAGTGGTCCATGCGGTGGATTGTTTGGAAGACGGAGACCGCCTAAAGTAAGTTTATAAAGGTTCTTAAGGATCCAATTTTTCTAATATAAATCGCTGAAGTGTTTCTAAGCTATTTTTGCTATTCCCAAGCGTCAAAACGTTACAAAATTTAGTTAAAACATACAAAAAAAATATAGATTTTCAACTAAAAATGGCCGATTTTCGACCAAAATTTCGATTTTTCAATTTTGTTAGCGCTTTGAAGAATAAAACGCAGTTAACTTTACTAAAAATTTAATTTCAAGACAAAACTCCATGATGGGGCCCACCTTCTCGTAGCACGCCCTCAGCTTGGCCGCCAGCAGATCAGCGTAGATGCGCTCGGAGAGCATGTGGCGGTGCTGCTCCAGGCTGGTTAGGGAGAGTCTGTAAAAGGCCGGCTAGCAGAGTTTTTTGGAACTAGTTTCTTAGCGGGGGGACTTTGTAGTGCTTTAGCATTTTCTGATTAGTCAAAAAGGTTCTTTCGCATTACCGGGGGGGACAAATGCCCAATAACCTAATAGTAAGTATTTTAATAAATTTTTAGTAAAATAACTCTAAAGTTTAGCTAGTAAAACTAAACTAAATGGAAATTTTTCAAAAAGCGGAATTTTGGTCGAAAAATTTATGTTTTTGTATTTTTTAAGAAAAATTTGTAACATTTTTACATTTAGGAATTGTAAAAATGGTTTAAAAACTCATCCTCGATTTATTTTTTCTAAATTCCTGCCTTAAAAGAAGTTGGTCCCCCCGGTAATGCAAAAGAACCGGGAAAGCATGCGGGACAGGCTAGCAGAGATCATTTAGGAATCCCACCCACCTAGCTACCGCTGGCATACACGATTGCTGAACGGTAGGGTCGAATCGATGCTTGAGACACCAATTCAGCCAACATAACGCGACGATTGGTTGTCTGGATAGGGCCTAAAACAGGGCATGCTAGCATGGATCCTTTGCGGAAAGTTTCAGCCGGAAACCCACGTTTTGATGGATGTATTTGCTGCACCGGGCCTCGAGTCCTAGAGCGACGAAACGCTTCGCCAACCGCATGCACGTCTCCAGGGTTTCGTCTGGAATTTGGGAATTTCGATAAAGATTAGAGCGGTAATTTTAATTATTAATTAAATTTAAATACTCTGAACGACCGGCGATAAAATCTAAAAAATTTTCCAAAAATGACGAATTTGGGTGCTTTCGCATTATCCGGGGCGGGGGCAATTTTTTTTTAGAAGTACAAAAATTAGCACAGTCGCGTGCCATCAAAATTGGAGAAACATTAGAAAACTAGGGTCGAAGAAATCAATAGCAGTCCTTAATTTTCATCGGGAATGCGCGTTCTTGAAACATTTTTTGTGAAGGTAGAAGTGTAGATTTTGTTCAGATAATTTTTGCGTGTTTCTTGATAGTTTTCGCATCTAGTTTCCGGCCAACAAAAACAAATTCGATTGCCAACTTGTAAAATCGGGTCCCACTAAAAATATAAGCAACATTAAAGCTTAACCGGTCAGCCAGTAAAAGCTATAGCGGGCCATCAGAAATGTGCTTTCTTGAAACATTTTTTTGGCGAGAATAAAAATGCAGCGCTTGCTCAGGTAATTTTTACACGGCTAGGGAGAGGCGTATGATTTTAATCCTGGAGCTAATCTTCTCTGAATTACCACATTGCAAAATCGCGGCCGACCAAAAATATAAGAAACATTAGAATTTCACGGGGTGACGGCGCATTAATGGTCCCAAGTTTGCCATTTAAATGCGAAATCTTGAAATCTATTTTTCTGAACTTGATGAATATAAAAACCTGGTTTTTGTCCGATAATTTTTAAACGTCTCTGTAGGTTTTTATGATTGTAATTTTCCACATCCGATGGTTTGAATATTGGCCCAGTACGGAATCGCGTAATACCAACTTTATTTGAAACATTATTACCGTTCGCACAAAAAAGTAAGAGTCACTAGTTTCTGAATTACTAAATGCTATCTTGAAACATTTTTTGTTAATGGTATAATTTAGGTCGAGCTAGAGAATTTAGAGGTTGATCCTACTATATATAAAAAATAGTGTCTGTGTGTGTGTGTGTGTGCCACTTTGCATCCACTTCCGTCTGTCTGTCCGGAGGATATTTCGATAGGGGAGGAAGTTACGGGTATGTGTGATACGTCGTTAGGTGCGCAATGGCCTTGAGATGACTGCACACATATCAAATTTTACAAAATCAGCCATTTTCGACATTAAATTTAAGTTTTTGTGAAAGCTTCTTTGTTAGGAAATAATTAGCATAGACTGGAAGTGGTGATTCGACTATATAAATGCACAGACAAGGTTGTTTTTCATTTTTTGTCATCCGAATTCAGTACAATTATGCAAAGTGCAGGATAAAATGGGGTTAGACGGGGCCAGGGTTGAAAAGTCGTGAAGCGGCTTTTCAACCCTGGTGTAATTTTATTTTCGCAGAGAAAGAAAGCGCAAAATTTCTGAAAATCAGCGTTGCGTCTAGCTAAAAATCTATGAAACATCAGGGTCTACTGGGGGCCGCATTCAAAAGTTCTAAAATCTAACGGGATTATGCCTAGGTGAAACGTTGATTTTTCTCGAAAAGGGTGCTTTTTGATCGAGCTGACTACCTCAGTAAAATTAAAAACGATAACTATTACTAGCAGCACATGACTGAATTAAATTTCAAGAAATTCTGAATTAAACCCCTTCCAAGTTTTTCTAAACGACAATATCCCGAAACATATGTTTTTTCAACGCCGAAATCCTCTTCTTTATCGTTTGTGCTTGCTTTGGGCAATGGATTTTGACCGACAATTGTGATCATTGGTTTTATTATTTTTAATCCAGCGTAACTTACCACTAATATCCTTCAACCCGGGGCAGGGTACCGAGCTCTCGATGAACCATCGGAATTGAGTGGCAGGGGAGGGGACAGACATGTCGGAAACTACCTGAGATGGAAAGGGTAGGCTAGCAGAGATCATTTAGGAGGCTTACCACATTGACCTCACTTCGCCCTCCATCGGCGGTGAAAACATTTCGAAAATATTCGGAAGCATGGGAGAGTTGGTGCTTGCAGACGAGGAATTTCGTCGCCTAAATAACTTCCAAATTTTAATTATATTATATAATTGTAATTATAATCTATAATTATTTAATAACATTAAAAATATATTCTAGGGTCAAACTCCATGGCCAAAGTAGTAGAAGACGTGGACATGTGTCGATTACCGTCAGATTTTAAGAATTTATTCGGAACTTATCTGAAACACAATTTTCGTCCCGTTTTTTTTGAATTTTTTTTTTATTGCCCCTCCATTCTACTTGATTTAATGCGGTTTCATTCAACATACTTGAAACAATAAGGCCGTTGGATTTGGATATTCTAGGTGATTAGGTGAAACATGATTTTAGAGCTAATAAAACAATATTATCGTTTTTAATATTGCTTTCTGTTCTTTTCCATTAATAAAAATTTGTGTTTCTGAATAAAATGGAAAATTACCTAAAAGATCCAGGACCAGCTTTTTTTGCTAAAGAATTGATGTTCCAAAAAACCGCCAATCAAAATGGTCATATGGAGGCCTAATTCGACCGTCCTTTCATTCGGAAAACAAAAAAAATCCTCATAAAATAAATACTAAAAATTGTTATTAAATAAAACCCTTATAAAGAAACAAATTTAAATAAAAGCTACAAAAAGGCAATGTAGGAATTGACGGATGCATTCCATTAGCAACATATTTCGCTGAATTATAAGCAATTTAGATGAAACACAATTTTCGTCCTGGTTTTTTCAAAAGCTGTTTAATCCGCCCGCCAATTTTCTTTATTAAAATATTTAAATATACAACATCTAAAAATATCCTTGCCTTAATTCAAAATGTTTAAAATTCTGAAATGGCCGGAAATAGTGTGTTTCAAAAATTTTAAGAAACAGGTTAGAAATTTCTTGGGTAATGGAAGGAGGGAGTATTTTAAAAATTGGTTATCAAATTCTGCATAACTAAGAAAAAAAACTGAACTGAAAACGAGTCTTTTTTCTGATTTTCTGACGCTGGATTTTTGCTATTTTTGTTGATAAAACAAATCCCAATGATGGCAAACTATGCTAGAATCACTTGTAATATACCAGGTGACAGTCAATATCATATTCCGCGAAGATCCGCTTTGGACCTGTGCAGGTTTCTAGCTTTTTAGGTAAAACATGTTTTTCAAAAAAATTTTGCTTGTCTTGGTTAAGATTTTCTTCGTGTAGCTTTGTGTATTACTAAATCAAAAAAGCCACGTTTAGATGTCATTAAAAAGTAACAAAATTCCCGACATAAACTGACAAAACAAACATCAAAAAATTTTGTGTTTCAAGAAACAACCGTTCAAAACGGGTATTAGGACAGCTAATGTTATACACTGCCCGCCATAATTAAAAATTTCCTTTAAAATATAAATCGAAAAGTTCTTTAAGAAAAATACAAAAAAACCTTTGATACAAAAATTCACCTCCACAACCACCGTAGCCGAGCAGCCTTCCAGATGGCATTGACTGTTCAGGTAGTCCAGGGTACGGGCGATGGCTTTTCGCTTTTGTGGGGATTTCGACCTGAAAATTACTGTATTATGATATTTTTTTGTAAATTCCCAATGTGTTGCTGCTGTCTTGCCTATTTTTGGAATTTTTTAATCCACCTTTGAAGACTTCTGAAAGTTTCCTTTTTTTGAAAAATCATGTTTCACACATTTTCAATACCATGGAAATTTGCGAAAATGGAATTACATAACGGTTCATCTCAGCTAAAAGAGGGAGGGAATTTTCCAGAATAATCTCTGCTAGCCTGCCCCCTCCCCCTCTCTCTCTCATCCCAAATGATCTCTGCTAGCCTGCCCCCTCCCCTCTCTCTCTCATCCCAAATGATCTCTGCTAGCCTACCCCCTCCCCCTCTCTCTCATCCCAAATGATCTCTGCTAGCCTGCCCCCTCCCCCTCTCTCTCTCATCCCAAATGATCTCTGCTAGCCTACCCCCCCCCCCCTCTCTCATCCCAAATGATCTCTGCTAGCCTGCCCCCCCCTCTCTCTCATCCCAAATGATCTCTGCTAGCCTGCCCCCTCCCCCCTCTCTCTCATCCCAAATGATCTCTGCTAGCCTACCCCTCCCCCCTCTCTCTCATCCCAAATGATCTCTGCTAGCCTGCCCCCTCCCCCCTCTCTCTCATCCCAAATGATCTCTGCTAGCCTGCCCCCTCCCCCTCTCTCTCATCCCAAATGATCTCTGCTAGCCTACCCCCCCCCTCTCTCTCATCCCAAATGATCTCTGCTAGCCTACCCCCCCCCCCCTCTCTCTCTCATCCCAAATGATCTCTGCTAGCCTGCCCCCCCCCCCCCCTCTCTCTCTCATCCCAAATGATCTCTGCTAGCCTGCCCCCTCCCCCTCTCTCTCATCCCAAATGATCTCTGCTAGCCTGCCCCCTCCCCCTCTCTCTCTCATCCCAAATGATCTCTGCTAGCCTGCCCCCTCCCCCTCTCTCTCATCCCAAATGATCTCTGCTAGATTGCCCTTCTTCCTTACCTGCTTACGATCCTCGTATCCCCATTATTTGGCGTGCCTCTTTTTTGTGGAGAATGACTACGGGAGCGGCTACTACTGTACGTCGATAGGTGTTGTCCGTTGTTGGCCTCAAACATTCCGGGGTCTGGTGGGGAGGTAGGTGTCGTTGCTGAAAAGCTTTTTAAAGGGACTGACAAATCACAAACTAGGCATTAAGAATGGGCATATTAAAACTACCAAAATAGGCATTAAAATTGAATTTTTATGGGTATTTTATTTACTTTATAATCCCACATTTTAACGGGCAAACATTGAGAGTGGAAAATATAGAGGAAACCGTTTTGATGGGCCGAATATTTCAGTAACGGCTGATTTTGTTGCAATATTTTTTGGAACATTCTTCCTATGAAGAATCAGCTATTAAAATTTGATAAAATGGCGACTATTAGTTTCCTTTTCAAATTTAAAACCTTAGAAGGCGGTGAAACATTATAAAAACCACAGAGCCATATAGAATTTAATAAATCCACAAAAAACGCACTGCCATTCAGGAAAAACGACGAATCGTCGGCGCCCTTTTCCGAGTTCCACGTCTGGACGGATTCCTGGAAAATTCGGATTATCGAAACGTGGAAATTGTATTTTAAGTTAGATTTTAATCTTCATCATGCAGAAGGCCTATCGACCTTCGATAATTTTCGTGATAATTAACGTTATTTGAAACTCGTTTTTTTTTATGCAAAGCTTATCTTCAATTGGTTCGACTTTGTTCAGCACTTACAACGATTTCTAGCAGTTCAATGGCCTCTTTACGCCAATGTTGAAAAATTTTTCTTTAGGTAAGCGTTCTACATAGTAGACAGGATACGGTATTGCTGCTCTCTATGTATTTTTTTTATTAATAATACCCGTCGTTTGATTGTTCCTTTGGCATTTTTGGCTCTTTTTACAATTTGATGAAACACTGTTTTCAACAAAAAATTTTTTTTAGGATTTACTTTTGCATATTTTTTTAAGAATATTAATTATTCTCATTTTTGTAACTTTTTATCCTTACGAATTTGTGACAGCGCTAGATTTTTAGAAAAATAAAATGGTGACATGATTACGGCATAAAATCATTCATTATTTGTTGATTGTAGTCATACTATTTTCATGCTTTTTGAAAATATTTGAAACTTATTTTTGCAAAAAATTTTTGAAATTGGATTTTGACGTTTTTTTAGCGTTTATAGCCGCTTGTTTAGTTTCCTTAATTTTTGCATAGTTTCAATAATAAAAAAACCGATTACGGTAGAGTAATCCCCATTTTTCGCTACCTTCCCATACTGCCGATCTTGCCACCGTAACCGCGGGCTCCGCTGCCGCACGTGCAAATAGTTCGGGTCCATTCTAATAATGGCAGAGGTTGTTTTAAGAAATAATTAACAAAATTTTAAGAGGAAATAAAAATGGAAATAATCGAGATAAAAAGGCCCAACGATTAGAAGCTCGCTACCTAACGCCAATTCGAATTTTTTTGAAACATGATTTTTTGGGGGACGATTTTTCCTGGAGCCCCCGGTTGGCCTATCAATCGTTATAAAATATTTTTATGTTGTTTTTAGAAGGTTTTAACTGTATTTTAGTAGAAAAACCCTCAAGAAATTGAGAAAATTGTCTGAAAAGGACGAAAAGTTGGTCATTTTGGATCGCAAAAGCCAATTTTTTGAGTTTTTTGAATTGGTTTTTGAATTTTTCAAGGAAAATTAATACATTTTTTTGCTTAGTAGTAGATTGGCCGATTAGAAAAAAGTGCCCCCCCCCCGATAATGCCGAAGAACCCAGATTCTAAAAAATTATCTTTGATTTCGAGAACAAAATTTCGAAAAGACTACAAAAATTAAAAAAGCATGTTTCGCTCCAATTTTGTTAGCCCATATTTCTCTGTTAAATCAATGTCCCGACCATGTGGTTGAGATGAACGGATACCTTGAGGGGCAAGCTAGCAGAAGCAATTAGAAAGGCAGTCAAGGACCAGATTTAAAAAATGTGTTCCAAACATTTTTGTATACAAAAAGTTATTTACCCCAATAATGGGCGACGCCTTGACTCCAGAATCTCCTACAGAAATGTTTCGCAATAAATTTTAGGGTTATTAAAAAATAAAACCGTCCCGACAATAAGCTAGGCGAGATTTCTGCGGAAAATCTTTAAAAAACGGGACGTTATAATTTAGAATTTTTGTAAATTTCGAAATCCCGCGAAATCAAAAAATCAATGTTTCATCAAATTTCCAGTAATGAAAGGAATTCTAAGCTAGAATCAGCGCTTAAATCATAGCATGGCCATCATAAACCCATTTTTTCATAAGAAAAAAGCCGCAAAAAAACCGAAAAAGCGATAGTTTGCCTAGAAATTAGAATTTAAAGTTGTGCCCAGAAATTTTAAGAATACAAGTTTTAACAAATTTCCTCTAGGAATATAGATTTCTCAAAGTAATTAGTCATCTTGGAACGTCGTAGAAAAAAAACGCGTTTCAAAGAATTTTCAGGTTAAAAGAATAATTTTCAGAATAATAGAGAGTCAAAAGATTCCATTGAAAACTTAGTATGAATTGGCATTTACTATAACGTTAAATCACCAAAAACCGAACCAAAATCACGGCATATCACCAAAAATTTATGTTTCTTGAAATTTACTAGCAAAAAAATCCGATGGTTAATTGATTCAAACGCAGCTTTTGCGGGAAATGATGCATTCTATTCTGAAAACATTACTATTATTGATTTGCTATAAATATAGTAAAATCCCTTTGATTTTAAACTAATAAAAACTACAATGCTTATTACTTAAATTAGTCTTGTTCTAATTTTTATAAAAATTCAATACGTAAATAATAATTCAATTAAATCCAATTCAATCGTAAATAGTAATAAATACAAGTTAGTTTAGCAACTTACTAAATTACATACCTAAATTTATCAAAATTTTCCTTATAAAAAGTATATCAATTAGAAAGCCTTAATAAATTATATTGATATTATAGAAATTATAAAAACTTCTAAAACATGTTAATTCTAAGACCTAAATAAAAACCACCGGGGCCAGCTGGCAGAGATCATTGGCGGAAGTGAAAAAGCGGGGCTCTAGTGGGCCCCATAAGTCATTTCGTGTCCTCTCCGAGAGAAGGTGGTTTCCAATTTTTCCTGGCTACGGCCAAACAGCCGGGTGCAGGCTGAGCCTGAGCCTGAGAAAGAGCTTTTTCTCTTTGAGCGTCAGGCAGACATTTGAGCCGTGATTGTTTGCCGATTGATCGACGAGTTGGGGAGTGACAGAGGAGAGAGAGAGAGAGAGAGAGAGAGAGAGAGAGAGAGTGAGAGAGAGATAGCGCGGGAGAGAGCAAGAGAGGAGAGAGAGAGAGAGAGAGAGAGAGAGAGAGTGCGAGAGAGAGTGAGAGAGAGAGCCAGAGAGAGGGAGAGAGAGAGCCAGAGAGAGGGAGGGAGAGAGAGCCAGAGAGAGTGAGAGAGATTGAGAGAGTGAGAGAGAGGGAGACAAGGCAGGCTAGCAGAGATTTTTCAGGAATTTCTCGCATAGCTTATTTTCGAAAAATATGTTTCTGGCGAAAATATACTCATGAATTATTTTTACCCAACAATCCTCTGATCCTGTCTTTGGTTTGGTAAATATCATCAAAAAGAGCCTCATGCAAAAAAAAAATAGGAAAACAGGTAAATATACAGTGGAATAAAAAAATATGTTTCTTTTTTTATAGAATATTTAGGAAAATAATGTGTCAGTAATCATCATGAATCGCCAATTTGGAGAATCGAAACACATCACTTGAGGCTGGATTTGTATTCCAATTCCATTTTTCTATGTTATTCCTATTTAAGGTAGATTAAAAGCGCAAGTTAAAATCTACATTTTAGCATCCTAACGATAACTGAGTGTCAAAACATCTAAAAATGTGTGTTTCATCTCCCAGCGGTCTATCCCGCGATCGAAAACACATAATCATGGGTGGACATTTTGTGGCAATTTTGGCTACAGTCTTTCTTATTTCGTCAAACTTGGTTGTTAAAATAAGGAAGGCTTTAGGCCAGGATTTTGGTCAAAAATTTGCGTTCCACCTCCCATCGGCCAATTTCCAAGACTCAAAAACGCAATTTGAAGCCGGATTTGTATTCCGATGCCATTTTTCTATATTGTTTTTCTTTAAGTTACATAGAAATTGTATCGTAAAATCTACGTTTTGTGCAAACAAAGAAAACTAACTTCAGAATTTTGGTGAAAATCGGTGTTTCACCTCCCATCGGCCAATTTTGAAGGCGAAAAATCATAATTTTGCGTTGGCTGCGCAATGAGTGCCATTTACTTTTTTTTTTTTGCAAATTACCGTACCCCCGATGCGTTACTGTGGCCAGAGAGATTTCGGCTGACGACGAGTGGCGATGGAGGAAGCGGAAGGTAGCAGACCGGAGGCAGATCCTGGAAAAATGAAATTTGGGTATTAAAAATTCCAAAAATTCGCTAAGAATCGCTACCAGCCAACCAGGGCGGCTAATATGACATGTTATTCTATTTTCAGGCACCTCAAGAATCTCTGCCAGCCTGCCCTTGGAATTCCAGTCGTGTGATACAAAAAAATGTTCCAAATAATTTACGAGTTAATTGTGGAAATGGAAATTCAATGGTACGTTTTAAAACAAGTATAGAAATCATTTAAATCATAGAAATCAATCCTTTTATCCTATCCTATAAGCGAGAAAAGTATGTTTGTTTTCTGTACGGCCGTTTTCTCGGCCGTCAGGCCGAATTTCGAGCTGATTTTTGGCATGGAGGTGGAGAACAACATTCGCCAAAAACGCATTTTTTTGTTTTCCGAAATTCCTCCATTTAACACTTTTACAAGCAAAATAGTAAAAATCCTTAACAAAATGAGCGACGAGCCGTGGTGTTCGGGCCATAACTCGATTCGCGTTTGGAATTTCGGGCTGAAATTTGGACCAGTTATGTATTCGATAGTGGGGATCACGCGCATCTTATTCTCTTTACAAATTTTCTGCAGATTCAGACTCAAAAACTTAATTTTGTAAAGTGACCAGAAGGCTTCCCTCCCGGGGCATTGGGTCAGCCTTTTCTGTGCTTCCCCGCCCGCGTTTCCCCGGAACAGAAGAGGGCTTTCCCGCCGCCTGTTCCCATCTACCCCGTGGTGTAGTGGATTTACGCCCGGCCTACTACGCTTATAGTCGTGGGTTCGGATCCTGGGCAAATCCTACTTTTTGCTTTTTGGTAGTCTAGCAACTAAACATATTTCTAGGCTCTCGGTGTGCGAGGTTTAGGCCTGACCCTCGCTCTAGCGCCGCAGGCCAAACAACAGGTCCTTGGTCCAGGCTCTCGCGCCGCAGGCAAGACCTGGAGAAAAACCAGTAGCTAGCGCCGCAGGCTCAAAGGATCTAGCGGAACGCTGGCTCTAGCGCCGCAGGCTTATTGGCGCCATTACTCAGGTTCTTGCGCCGCAGGCTAAAAGAAGAAGGTATTCAAATTCATGATTCCTGGACGGGGTCCAGTGGAAAATGGCCGCGAAGCGGTCTTTTTCCACTGGTTTTTAAATTAGCCAAGAATCGCCGCTAGCCTGCCCCAAAACTTTGCCCATCAGAGAATTTCCAAATGATGTTTCGGCCAAAGTGGTACTTTAAAATTTAATTTGGAAGCTAATTCTCTCTGTTCAACATTTTCCCTTACCAAAATTCCCTAAGAACCAAGCCTGTCGTACCCGAAAGCTAGTATAATGACGGGCTTAGATTTTTACATTCCTCAAGAATATCTGCTGGCCTGCGCCTGGAATTCCAGTTCTGCGATACAAAGAATATGTTCCAACCAAGTTCATAAGTTATTTTTGAGGCGCCAAATTAATCCGAGTTCTTTTCGCGTCATTAAATAAATTTCCCCTGTCAAGAATCTCTGCTAGCCTGCCAAGGATTATCAACAAACGACTTTTTCACATCTACAAATTCCTCAAACGCCTTAGAATTAGACTGCCTTTAAAATTTGAAATCTCGTGAAGTCTAAAAAGTCTGTTTCAGGTAGATCAATAGTCTGCATTTTTGGGACGCAATCAATAGAAACAAGCTGTCGCCGGGTTTTGATTGTGGTGAAAATATCTTCTAGCTCACCAATAGCGCTCCAATAATCAACAATTTTCACAAGAATCTCTGCTAACCTGCGGCTAAAAATCAAGCGCAGGATGCAAAAAAAAGTATGTTCCAACCAAGTTGCCTAAGCCTAAGCCTAAGCCTAAGCCTAAGCCTAAGCCTAAGCCTAAGCCTAAGCCTAAGCCTAAGCCTAAGCCTAAGCCTAAGCCTAAGCATAAGCTTGGTTTTTGTGGGGGGAAATTATTCCCGCCTCGTCTCGGCCTCCTGAATGAATTTTCTCGGTCAGGAATCTCTGCTAGCTGGAATGGTTATAAATAAACTTTTTTTAACAAATTCCTCAAAGAATCCCTGCTAGCCTGCCCAGAAAAATAATTCATGCAAAAATGGAGAAAAATATGTTTCAGCTAGAGTCCTAACGTAAATTTTAGTGGTTCAGTCAGTGTTCGGACATTGTTATTCCTTCATATGATCACTCCCTAATTCCGTATGCGGTTTTTGGTGAATTAGGGTAATGATTATTATTAACAACCCCACCCTTATAATTAAAAATGTTTTTTTGAATTCCGCAAGAATCCCTGCTAGCCTTCCGTTCCTGCCTCACCTCCAAACCAGATTAGAAAACTATGTTTCGGCCAAGTTACCAATTCGTGCCTGAAGTCGGAAGTCAATACTTCGTCCTTCCCAATTTACCCAATTAGTCTTATTTGTCGATAAAATCTCTGCTAGTCTCCCAAGAACCACCAAATCCTTTTCCATTTTTTGTATCTATATCTTTTTTTACCTACCTTATTTTATTTTTCTATTTGATACCATTTCCTCTTTAATTAATAAAACTTGGATTTAATGGATCTACAAATTATTTTAAAACTTTCGAATTTTTTCTTCGTGTGGCATGATGTTTCAGAAAAGGTAGGGGTCAAATGTTTAGGAGACGAGGCAATCGTGTTACGACTAATGCGTCATTTAAATTTTTCGGGAATTTCAGAATCTCTGCTAGCGCTCTCTCTCTCTCTGTCTCTCTCTCTCTCCCTCTCCCTTTCGCTTCCTTAACGCTTCTCTGCTAGTCTGCCCCCACCTACCGGCATTGGATAATCGGGCGGAACGGGCCCTCCGTATTTCCGCGCAGCACCCGGGGAGTACGGTATCGCGGTGGGATCATGGTGGGAGTAGCTGCTGAAGTTCGAGGGAGGCTGCTCGAAGCTAAAAATGAGGTTTTAAACGGTTTTTATCTAAAAATTTGAACCAATTAAAAAAATGCATTTTTGAAACACTGATTATTGAAAAAGTATTTCAAAAATGTTAGGTGTAAGTGCGGGGAAAGGCGCTTCAATCGGTCTGTGTTGTCATCTTCCTTTTCCGCTCCCTATAAAACAGCTGGTTCCACCCTATTAAAATCATTTCGAAATCAATCCTCTTACGAAATACAATTTTGAAAATTGTCAGTTTCAAAAATACGTCGGGTAATTACAGGATTTTTGCCTTTGATGCTTCTTGCCATGAATGCTTCTTGCGAAAGGGATTGATCATCGAAAACGCTAATTCCATCTATTAATTATTGTTTTCCTTTTTGTAAAAATTTTAATCATTATTATTTCTGCGTTTAAGGTCGGGCTAAAAATGTGAACAAATCTAAAAAAAATTAATTTTTACTTAAATTTGTGAAAAAATGTTTCAAAAATATTAGGTGTAAGGGCGGGGAAATTCCCTTCAATGCCTTTCTCGTGTTTTTTCCTTACGATCCCTTTAAAACGCTGCCTTCACGACTGGGAAATCATTTAACGGTAACGAAATACAATCTTGAAAAGTGTCAGTTTCAAAAATACGTCGGGTAATTTTAGGATTTTGGCCTTTAATATCGCGCTTCACAAACACCATTTATTAATGCTCATTTTTGTTTTTAAATTTTTTTTGCTGGTGTTTCCACTTGCCTTTAAATTGAAAATTAGGCTAAAATTTGAACAAATCAAAAAAAATAATTTTTGGAAATGTGATATGTGAAAAAATGTTTCAAACATGTTAGGTGTAATTGCGGGGAGAATGGTCTACGGTTCGAGCTTGTTTTCGTATGCAATTTTTCCTTTCCGCTCCCTTTCAGCGCTAATTTGACGCCTTGAAAATCATTTACCGCTTACGCAATGCAAATTGTAAAAGTGTTAATTGCAAAATATAGCGTTAAAAAATTGCGTATTTTTCTGCTTTTCGTCGTCTTTATAAATTGATACAATTAAGTCCTAAACGTTAAAACGATATGATACCTGTATTTGTGGTGCTGTCGGTGGGTGCTGGGAGGGGCGTAGGAGCGCGAGAACTGAAAAAGATTGCGATGTGGATTCTCTTGCTTTTTATATAAAATAATATAAAAAGTAATAGTAAAATAATATAAAATAATATAAAAGGATTACGCCTTTTAATTTTTTTTATGCATCCGCTTTTCCCTAATTTTCACATCGCTCATTAAACTATCCCCCTCTCTTGGTTTTAAAGAAATAAGGAATAGGCGAATTCATATTTGGAAAAAAATGTAAACAATTTGTTTTAACGAAACATCAATTTTTGAGACCAGAGTAAAATAGACGTTTACGAAATCATCCATTTTTCAGGACACTTTTTGTTTTTAAAGGGACTATCAAGGCATGGATTTAGCTCCGCAATTTGCGCTTGGTAGATGTTGCGTGCTTGCAAATTCTATAACTTTAGAATGGTTTCAATAACACCGTCAGCAATGCATTTTTACGAAACATCCCCTCTTATTAGGTTTGTTCTATATTAAAATTTATTTGATTCTCTCAAATAAATTTATTACGTTACATTATTACAGTAACCTATCAAACCCATACTTCAGCATTTGAAAGGAACTACGAGGTCTGGGACACCAAGGAAATTAATATTTTTGAACAAGCCTTGACGATGCCTTTTAATGAAACACTAATTTTCTATTGGTCCGTTATTACGGTAGTCTATTAAATTAGCCGTTTTTTGGGATTTTAAAGGAACAGTGAAGGCTAGCAAGTCGCTGCGATTTTTATGCCTAGCAGAAGTAGTAGAAGTGTACAAAGAGGCTGCCGCATTGTGGTTTCAGTTACGCCGTAAGCAGTACATTTTTACGAAACATCCCTTTGCAAAAGCCCGATTATTAATGCCGTAACGTATTTTTAGAATTTTTGATGGGAGATGCAAGGCAAGGATAACAGCGTAAATTAGTATTTTAAAAAGTAAATTAAATCGATCGATCAAAACGCTCCTAACTAGGGAAGTGCAAATAAAAATCCAGCAAACCGCTTAGCAAAAATATGGGTCTGATAGAGTCGGCGACGGGGATTCCGAAACTGCAATCAGAATTTGCTAAACGCTTAATACAAAATAGTTATGAGCATTTTAAGTTTTGCACTACATGCTCCGCCCTCCCTTATGAGCCCCTCCCAAAGAGGGGTGTCCGCCTGTCGAGTGGTGTAGTGGATAACTAGCCTGCCTCTGTGGCGGAGGGTCTCTGGTTCGACTCCCCGTTCATGCAAAACTTTTTGCTTTTTGGTCAAAGGCAACAACTTCACACTTTTTCAAAGCTTCGAAGACCGAAATTTAGATTTTTTAACATTTTCTATATTATTGACTGCGTGTAGGCCTGCCTTACGAAAAAAAAGAAGTGAATTTTTTAGTGCCGTATCCGCAAGAGTACTGGCACTCTCGTGACCACTTTGCAATCGCTTTCATGAATTTAAAAATTCATGAATAAGCAAAAAATTTTGCATGACCGGGAAGTCGAACCAGAGACCCCCCGCCCCATAGGCATGCTAGTTAGCCACTACACCACTCGACAGGCGGACACCCATCTTTGGGAGGGGCTCATAAGGGAGGGCGGAGCATGTAGTGCAAAACTTAAAATGCTCATAACTATTTTGTATTAAGCGTTTAGCAAATTCTGATTGCAGTTTCGGAATCCCCGTCGCCGACTCTATCAGACCCATATTTTTGCTAAGCGGTTTGCTGGGTTTTTTATTTGCACTTCCCTAGTAAGCCACATTACGGTTTTAAAAACACACTAAGCAATATTTTTTAACGAAACATCACTTTTTAGAAATCCTAATTTAACAGAACGCCTTATTAAATTAGCCCATTTTTGGAATGTTAAAGTAATTGGAAAAACCGCGACTTGAATATTACTATTCGAAAAGCACTCAACAATGCATTTTAATGAAACACCAATTTTCTATCGGTCCCTTATACAGGAGTCTATTAAATTAGCCGTTTTTGGCATTTTAAAGGGGCTGGGAAGGCAGCGGTTCTGCTTGGCATTTTTCCTGCTTCCTAATCTTTTTCAATATCACAGAATGAAAATGAACTAATATTTGCAGGACACAGTAAGCAGTACCGTGTTTTGGCGAAACATCAAAAAATTCCCCGAAAATTTTTAAAAGGTATCGTATTTTAATTTTGTTTATCTATAATTAAACGAAAGAAAAAATACCGGCTGATTCCTGGGCAGCTGCTCCCGTTTCAACGGCGATTTCGACCGGGATTTCCGGCCGACAATCTTGTTGAACAGCTCCATGCTGCTGCAATTAGTTTTGTGGATTTAAGTGAAGACCTTTAGAATTATTGAATCAATAAATAAATGAATAAAGTGAAAATGTGTATTTTCGTCTTTTGGATACGGGCCATTGATACAGAATCGGCAAGAAACGGGTTTTAAAATTGTGAAACATAGACTGACTTTCCGGAATCTTTCGATTTGCCGAGAGACTGTGGACAAGAGCCCTAGATTAAACGGCCAACCACAAAAACATTAAAGCAGGAAGGATGAAACACGTTTTTTCAAAAAGCCAAATTTTTTTTGCGAAAATGAAAAGACAGGCTAGCAGGGATCATTTTAATAGTTTTTATAGTTAGTTTTAGTTATTATAACAGATCTTTTAATAGTTTAATAGTATAATTTGTCTCGGCCATTTTTTAACAACGAGAATTTCCGAATCTTGTGATTTTTGATAAGAAACTAATGGAAAAGGACTCAATTTTGAAAACTTTTAAAACTATTTTTATAATGCTCTTGCAATCAAAAACCGCGGAAAACAAGCCAAAAATACGCTACTCTCAACAAAAATTACTTTCCCCCTGCTAATATACCAGCGTCGGGTTTTTTGGCAGAAAACTGATAAGGGCAGGCTAGCGGAAACCATTTGAGAATCGTTGGCGAGTTTTTCCTCGGTTAATTAAGCAGGAAACCATGTAGAATTAAATATAGAAATATGAAACACGATTTTTCAAAGGGATAGATTCGATTCCCAAACTGGGAATGGCAAGCTAGCAGAGATCATTTGGGATTAGATTTGGGAATTTTAGAAAAAATAAGCAAGTAAGGAATTATGAAACAGGATCATACAAAAATCAAATTTTTCGCTACGGGCAGGGGCATTTTTAACCGGGGGGAAGCTAATTTTTCTCGGTGATCATTTACGGTCCTCAAACAATCAAAATTTTCGGGAATCTTTGATGTAAAATCAAAATGACTGAAAAAAGAACAACCAACCTTATGGAATTTCCAGCATTTTTTGCAATTATTTTTATAATGTTCCGGCAACGGTTGTGTACCTATTAAGTAGGAAACTATGAAAAAAAGTAAATAGAGTTATGAAACATGATTTTTCAAAAAGTTAAATTCCATACCCAAAATGGCGATAGCCAGCTAGCAGAGATCATTTGGCATGGGGTTTGGGAATTTTATAAAAAAAGAAGCATGGATGTAACTTGCGACAACTATAACGACGCTAACGGGAAATTACACAGGGAAATATGAAACATGCTTTTCAAAAACCCAAATTTTCTAGAAAAAAATGACAATGGCAGGCTAGCAGAGATCATTTGCGGACCACTACAGTCTCCGCCAACCCTAAGATAACCTTAAACCCCAGAAAAAAGTGTTGGCTGTTGGGGCCCAGGGGCCCAACAGCCCCAGACCAGGGGCCATGTCAGTGGCAGCCGCCACTGCATGACCCCAAAATTTTATGGGGGACAGGTGCCATTTGGGCTCCCAAAGTGAGATGGGCCTCCGCCTCTTATCTTTTCTGTGGGCCCCGGGGTTTTTCCGCATTTCTTGGGGGTGCCCCCAAGAAATGCTGGTGGGCAACAGACGCTTGGAGCTGGTTTGGCTAGGGTTGATTGCCAGACATGAGGATTTTGAGGTAATCAGGGTGCGAGTTATGCAAGAGGTTACTTTAACCCCAGCCGGAAGGTCCAAAATTTTTTGATGCCACGAATCGATAGCCCTAGGGTCCCAGCTACTTTCCCCTTGCCGGAAATTGCGAAAAACCAATTTTAAATTTTATACAATTAAAATAGTGTTTAGCGGTTATTCGAATTTTTCTTGTTTTTACCATAACTATTTGATTTTACACTATTTTGGGCAGAAACTAAAATTCTTAGTATATTTTTTGATGCTCTATCGAATGGCGTCGAAACAATCCCGGAAAAAAAACGAAAATATCGCCAACTTTGGGGCCCTGGGGCTGGGGGCGGGTAAAGTAAACCGTAGCCCCTCTGGGTTTGATTGCTAGAGCCGAGAATTTTGAGGAATTCCGCAACGAGCCTCTGCTAGCCTGCCCCCTCCCACCAGCTTCGTTCGCAACATAAAAAAATAATAATTACGAGCTCGTTAGCGTCATTTCGGCGTATAATTCCTCCGTGCAATCAGCAATTACCCCCCTTCGATCCTGAAACGCTGCTTTCTAAAAAAATTTCAGAGTATCGAGCGGGATACTGTAAGTTTGAGATTCCAAGTTTTGTAACGATAAGCAACCGCGCCCGATTACTGGATCCAAAAAAAACTTTTCTGAAGTTAGATATGAAACATCGAATTTTCGGAAAATTGGTAACTCGAAGCAGTACTGGATTTCTTGATGTAGATTGAACTTTTGGAAGTAAGCTTTTTATCGGGATACGGGAATTTACCTATTTTTTTAAAGGAGCTGTGAAGGCCGGGGGGAGGTAAAAGGAGCGAAAACTTTATTTTCAATTCACCGGATAATCACTGATTTTTGGAACATTCATAAATGCTACGACACTGTATTTAGTGGCACTTTTTAAGTGCAGTTTTAATTAAAACAAAACCGATCATCACTAGAAAACAATTGATTTAAAAAGGAGAATTTATTTGGAATGGATTTAGTAAGGCGCTAATGTTTCCGGGGGCCAATTATCCAGATTCTACTCTGCCACACTGATTTATAAAATTTTTGAGTACCTGATTATTTGGATACTGTAATTTGTAGATTGCAAAGTTTTGTAAGTTTTGTAATACATTCAGAAGTTGCTTGCATTAACCGATCAAAAGCAAAATTTATATTGGACGGACGCGAAACATGCATTTTTGGAAAAACTCGAACCCTATGCACAACCGGATTTTTTGTCTGATTTAGGTTTTGAGGAGAACAAAAGTCATAGGGATACGGTAATTTATAGATTTTATGCTTTAAAGGTACTGTGAAGGCGGCGGAGGTGAAAGAAGCAAAAATCTGTCAAAATGAATCTTGTCAAGAGGAGCGGTATGCGATTACCAATTTTCAATTCACGGCAGCCTCGCTAATTTTTGAAACATCTTTTCGCAGAGCTACCAAATTCCATTTTCGAATTTTTCCAAAAAAATACACAAGAAAATAATTTTTAAAAAGCACAGCGCAACTTTAAAGGGGGCGTGACAATACGGAAACAAAAATTTAATGTGAATCGCTATCGCCTTTAATAGTAAAAATCGTGCCTTAGAATTATGTCGGCAAACCCAAGCAAACGGGTGGTAAATTGCCAATTCCAAGCCAACATTGTCATGATTTCGACGTGATACATCAAAATTAAATATTAATTTTAAATGCAAAATTTTCAAAGTATGGGCAAAATAATTTAAATTCGAGACTCGACAAAAAATTTATTTTTTATAACTCCCCCCCCCCCTCTCCCCCTTAAATCCACTATCTCCTTTTTAGTATTAAAAACCCTTTTTCTTTTTTAATACGATATCTTTTTGTAATCCAAAGTTTTCAAATTTTTTTGGTATTACAAAAAAGCAAACGAAAAATTACAAAATTACAGCCAAAAATTACAAAAAGCCCATGCAGCCATTTATCGCAATTACCGTAGTACACAAATACAACAAAAATCCACATAGCAATGAGCTACCGTAGTCCAGTGGGGGGTGGCGTATCAAACAAGCAAATTTTTCTGCATAAAAATGATCGGGGAACTTCGGGATTTTTTTGGGCGGGGGCAGGCTAGCAAAGACCATCACACACATCAAAAAAATATGCAAATTTCAGGGGCTTTTTCAGCGTGGTCGTGACAGCTGGAGGTGGTGGTGGTCCCGGCTGGATTTACCTGAAATACCGTCAAAATACAAGTCATTTTGATTGAATTTTGCTCTAGTATAAAAATTACATAAAAACTTGCGAGAATTTTGACTTTTGGTGAAAAAATTTGTTAAAAATAATAAAAAAAGATAAAAATTTCGAATTTTCAAATTTTCCAAAAATTTTATAACTTTCTAGCAACAAAAACTCGAAAAACACTATATAAGCACTTTATTTATTATTAAAAAAGGCGGAAATAGGCGGGACAAACTAGTCCCCCCCCCGCTAACAGTCCAGTACCCTGCTGATTTGACGACAAGGGCTCTTCACCCTACTGTAATCTAAAACGTTAAACAGTGGCTTTTTGGCCTCTTCGGCGCGAAAATTGTATTTTTTTCCTCGTACGATAACGCGCAAATTAAATATAGCAATTCACTGGTAAAAAGGAGCTTTGCTGAAACATGTTTTCAATCCACCCCAATTTTTTTCCGTTAAATTTTAATTCTCCTCAAAAATCCAAATTTTATTAAAACGGCCCAATACTTGGTTGTGTAAAAATCTCCTTAATTTTTGCAATTGGCTAACAATGTTTTATGCCAGCAAGCCATGTTTTATTAACAAAACCCTGATTTTTTGATAATGTAACTCTTATGAAACATTGGTAAAAAAATGTGAAAATAACTGCTGGCTGAGCTGGCTCTGGCTGAGAACTGGAATTCATTTTTTTGTCCCCATATTATTTCCAGCTTAAATAAATGCCAATTTTGCGTATCAACTACCGTATTCAGTTGATGACGGTGGGCTTGGCGGAGACGGTGCGCATCCCATTCGGGAGGCGCTTCTGCTTTTGCGAGTGGGTCATATGCACCGATTCCTGGGTGGGAGCCTAAAAATGGGGCAGGCTAGCAGAGATTCTTTGAGAGAGAGAGCGAGAGAGAGAGAGAAAGAGAGAAAGGAGAATGAGAGAGAGTGTGTGTGAGAGAGAGCAAGCGAGAGAGACAGAGAGAGACAGAGAGAGAGAGAGAGAGAGAGAGAGAGAGAGAGGGAGAGAGTGAGAGAGAGAGTGAGAGAGAGAGTGAGAGAGAGTGAGAGAGAGTGAGTGCGAGAGAGAGCGAGAGAGGGCGAGAGAGCGAGAGAGTGCGAGAGAGTGAGAGTGAGAGAGAGAGAGAGAGAGAGAGAGAGAGAGAGAGAGAGAGAGAGAGAGAGAGAGAGATAGGCCCACCTTGCGAGGGATCTCCTTCTCGGTGCCGGGGCCCAGCGAGCGCTGCGTGGGTTCCTGAAAATCGTGGTCATATTTTCCACGTTAGAGAATTTGTTATCCACTCAAAGTTTGCAGTTTTATCCTTTTCCGAAGAAATCTATGTTTCATCAAGTTTCCGATATAGCTTGAAATTTGCCGTATCAATTGTATCTTGTTCGGACGTATTCAACAAATTTTTGCGACAAAAAAATATTTGGAAAGCCCTTTAAAAGCAATAGACCAGCTAAACGTATTCTTCTTGGCACTTTTGAAAACATAGTGTTTCGACCAAAGCCCTTGACAAAGGCCAATGTAGCTCGCCAATCGGTTTTAATAACGTTTGGAAAATCATCGCCTTACTAGGCCGCTTTTAACCGTTGAAAAAAATGTTTCGACTAAAATCCTTTTAAAAAAATTAGTGATTTGATTAATCATTGTCAGGCGTTTGATCCAGCTACAAGAGTTCGGCACTAGAAGGTATGCGTACTTGCATAGATTCTTTAGGATTTTCCGAAGGCAGTGGTCAGTAGGCTTTTTTATTATTTTTATGCCGAAACACGTCAGTAAATTTCGCAATTTTTTTATATTTTTTTAATTTTATTTTAATCGAGAATTGCACCAGGAACATAGCATTATTAAATTTAACGATTTATTAAATGGAACCTAAATAAAAAAAATTGAACAATTTTTTGGTGAGATTTTGGCTGAAAATCCGCGATTTTTGGTCAAAAAATCGGTATTCTTAACAAAAATTTAAATTATTTAATAAATATTTGGAAGACTAGAAAAATAATTTGGATAACTCCCGCTATTTTATCATACAACATGGATCCTTAGAAACATCTTTAGATTTACCTCATTTTTCTTGACGCTTTTGGAAAAAAATATGTTTTGACAAAAGACCTTGAAAAAGCCAATTTGAATTTTCCAGTTAAGTAGCCGAAGTACGTTTAAAATTTTAAAATATTACGCCTAATCGGCAGGCTCTTGCTCACTTTTAAGGCTCTTTAAGGGGAGCATGACAGGCAGGTACCCTATTCTCCATTTGACGGTCCGACGGCGCCACTTTGTCATTGTCCGAGCGCGTCGTTGTGCGGCCGCTGCTTCGCGAGCTCTTCCCGCTTGACTAAAACAGAAAACTATTAATTGTAATTATTTAATAGCCAATACGTTTAATTTTTAATTTTAGAGGGAGGTTTAGTATTTTAGCGCGTATTTTTATCGTATTCTCTTACATATAAGTAATTTCTGAAAATTAAAATGTTTCACAAACTTTTAAGTATTTGCAATTTTTTACTGTGTTAATATCTCGACCCTCGTAACATAATGTTCGATGATATCTATGATAAGAATTTTCATTTCTAAAAACGCTTAAAAAGATATTAAAGCAGTATAGATTGTCGCGACTAAAAATTTACCCCCCGCCCCCCGCTAACGCACTAGTACCTGGGAAGCCCAGCCCCCTTTTCCCCCTACCTTCGACGATCGTGACAGGCGCTTCTTCTGCTTCGACTCGTCCACCTTTTGCAGTAGCGAGGCTGAAAAAAATGGATTTTCGAGGAGGGGCAGGCTGGCAGAGATTCTTTGCGGAATTTGGGACCCACGCTGGTTTGTCTGGCTCTTCTCCATCCGCTTTCGCAACCCCAGATACACCATTGCGGCCATGGCACAGCAGTAGATGACCACCACAAGCAACACCATGATGAAGGCCATACGGGTGGACATGTGGCTGAAATCAGGGCAAATGGTCTCTACCAGCCAGCCTGCCCCCTCCCCCTCTCTCTCATCCCAAATGATCTCTGCTAGCCTGCCCCCTCCCCCTCTCTCTCATCCCAAATGATCTCTGCTAGCCTGCCACTTACAGAGCTTCAGCCGTCGGGTCGACTGTCGCCTTGACGTCGGGTGCAGCTTGTTCAGCGGGACCGCTTGGATCCGTTAAGGCGGGCGGGAGATCGGAGGTGGTCGACGAGGAGGAACGGAAAAATAGAATAGTAATTCGATTTCAAATTTTTAATTTGGCTAATTTAATTTAATTTAATTTCAATTTAATTCTAGAAGCTACCGAGTCGTGGGACTGCTCGTAGTTGGTGGGGTTGGCGCGGCTGTACTGTTCGCTGTCGGCGGGGGCCCGGAAGTAATGGGCTGGAATTCGAAGTCGCAACGTTTAAAATGACGCTTTGAAAACACATTTGAGTTCTAGAAGGTTTGAACAATTTCTGGATAACAAAAATGTTTCATTGAATTCCAAAGACTAATCTAACACGATGCCACCTAATCCAGTTCCATCAAAAGGTTGGTAGCCATTGAAAAGCAGATGTACGGTTATGTTTTCATACGTAGAAATTTTTGGCTAAAACCGTAGAATTATGCATTTCGCAGTACAAAAATCATCAATATTTTTCTGATTTTTCGAATGTTTCAAACATTTTTGAAGAACCGCAAAAATTGAGAAATTTAATCAATCAGTCTTTCTTGGGGAATTCTTCTAAGGCCTAAAATTCAAACTTACTTCTAAATTCACAATATTAAAATTATAAGATTTTTGTGGTTTCGGATATCTAAGTTTTTCACTTTGTAAAATAATAATTTGGGTAAAAAAAAATAAAACGAAAAATATAGCTGGCCGACTTTTTACCAAAGTTTTTTAGCATTTTTAAGAAAGTTTTGTGGTAGTTTTTCTAGTTGAAAAATAGTTATATTTTACGAAAAATACTATTAATATATCCTATATATATAAATACTATTAATATATCCTATATATAATATCCTACTTGGCATTTCTGGACTTGTAGAAGAAAATAGGATCCCCTCCGATAAAGTGAAAGATCCAGTTTTTGCAATGTTTCGAAAATGTTCAAAGTTTGGCTAGAAAATGCTACTATAATCCCCTCACGATTTCGCGTAAATAACAGCAGAATCTTCGCAAAAACCTATTACAAAATAATTTTATTTTCGAATGTTTCAGTTATTTGCAAAGCGCTAACAGAAATCAACGCATTTATTCGGACGAATACTAAGGCCGTGTCAATAATCCTTCCATAATCCAATAATTTGACGTGAATATTTTGAAACTTACAGATTTCTGTAGTTTTCAATATCAAAAAATTATTTTTCAAATGGGTTTTTTGGAGTTACGGGGGAACCCGTTTTTTTTTCTAAGAAAAATCGAGGAATTGTTTCTAAACTATTTTTTTACTATTCCTAAATCTAAAACATTAGAAACGGTGATTTTAAAGATACAAAAATATCGATTTTCGGCTAAAAATTCCCGATTTGTACCAAAATTTCACGAAGTTTTTTTCAAAATTTATTATTTTTTCTGCTTAAAATCTGGACAAATTTATTATAAACCCGATGAAAACTTTTACGATTATATCGCTAGGCATTTTTCGACTAGTAGGGAAAAAATGTTTCAAAAATATTTAAAGTTTCACGAGAAAATTTCGCTCTAATGACACCGTCAATTGTACCAACCATAAAAAAATATTACCGTATTACTAGTGGTATTCGAAGCCGTGGTCTAAAAATAAAAATTTGTAAAAATTGTATAATTTTTCAAATACCAAAATCGGAGTGCCGGTCGTGTTGGTGGGGGGTACGGTAGCGTTGGGAGGAGTGGGCGTAGTGGATGGTATACTAGTCGTATTTGGAGCCGGCGGAGCGACAGAGGTCGTCGGCGGGGTGTACTGGAACGAAAAAATCAATTCTAAATGTTTCGGCTTTTTGGGGCTGCCACAAAGAATCTCTGCTAGCCTGGCCGGCTGAACTCCAGACCCCCAGCCGCCCCATCTACCGTAGTCTCGGTTCCCTGTTCAGCTAGTTGTGTAAAATATACCAAAATACTCGCAAGAGCAAAACGAACATTTTGGTATACTTTACACACCTGTAGATGAACAGGGAGCCGAGATACGGTAGGTGGGGGTCGGCTGAGGGGGGTATCTGGAGTCTCCACTCACCCAATGTCCTCCGGTAACATTGCTCAGCTCCGGATGTGCCTCGTAGAACAGCTCCATCACCATTCGATCTATTACGACTAGAGTAAATGGAGAGACGGAAATTGAGAGGTACCTGGTTGGGAGCCTCTATCCACGACCGCCTTCCCTGGCCGACCACTGAAAAAACGGAATTAGGTAGGCAAGCAGAGATCATTTGGGATGAGAGAGGGGGGGGGGCAGGCTAGCAGAGATCATTTGGGATGAGAGAGAGGGGAGGGGGCAGGCTAGCAGAGATCATTTGGGATGAGAGAGAGGGGGAGGGGCAGGCTAGCAGAGATCATTTGGGATGAGAGAGAGGGGGAGGGGGCAGGCTAGCAGAGATCATTTGGGATGAGAGAGGGGGAGGGGGCAGGCTAGCAGAGATCATTTGGGATGAGAGAGAGGGGGGGAGGGGCAGGATAGCAGAGATCATTTGGGATGAGAGAGAGAGGGGAGGGGGCAGGATAGCAGAGATCATTTGGGATGAGAGAGAGGGGGAGGGGGCAGGCTAGCAGAGATCATTTGGGATGAGAGAGAGGGGGGGGGCAGGCTAGCAGAGATCATTTGGGATGAGAGGAGGAGGGGGGAGGGCAGGCTAGCAGAGATCATTTGGGATGAGAGAGAGGGGGAGGGGGCAGGCTAGCAGAGATCATTTGGGATGAGAGAGAGGGGGAGGGGCAGGCTAGCAGAGATCATTTGGGATGAGAGAGAGGGGGAGGGGGCAGGCTAGCAGAGATCATTTGGGATGAGAGAGAGGGGGAGGGGCAGGCTAGCAGAGATCATTTGGGATGAGAGAGAGAGGGGAGGGGCAGGATAGCAGAGATCATTTGGGATGAGAGAGAGGGGAGGGGGCAGGCTAGCAGAGATCATTTGGGATGAGAGAGGGGGGAGGGGCAGGCTAGCAGAGATTATTTGGGATGAGAGAGAGGGGGAGGGGGCAGGATAGCAGAGATCATTTGGGATGAGAGAGGGGGAGGGGCAGGCTAGCAGAGATCATTTGGGATGAGAGAGGGGGAGGGGGCAGGCTAGCAGAGATCATTTGGGATGAGAGAGAGGGGGGAGGGGGCAGGCTAGCAGAGATCATTTGACCCACAGCAATATCTGCCCTGCCAGATGACGTTGCTCATGCAGTGCGACGCGCACTTGGTGGCCCAGAAGTTGTCGTCAACGCAGAAGAAGCAGAAACGGGCACGCGTTCTCGGGTCAAGCATCGAGTCGTCGTATGCAGGGCATACTAAAAGAGATAGCGAGTGAGCCAGAGAGAGAGAGAGAGAGAGAGAGAGAGAGAGAGAGAGAGAAAAAGACCCACTATAACAAATCCCATCCTTGAGTACGGCAATCTGATCCTCCCAGGTGGTCTGGCTCACTTCGGCGACCAAGGTGGAATGCTGGACGAGCGCGCCGACACTTTGGCACTGAAACTACAACACTGAGGTACGCTTCTTTTTCGCTTTTGGGTTCTTTTGCATTATCGGGTGGCGGGGGCATTTATTTGGCACTAGTTCGTTAGCGGGGGGAGGCCACGCCCACCCCTTCTACTTCCAATAGCCTGGTCGGGGGGGGGCCTTATTGGTGAGCCCCCCGCTAACGCACCAGAGCCGATTTTTTTTCTATTAGCCCAGAAATTCCTAGCAACCGAATACTAAGTATTTAATAACGTTTTCGCGAATTTAACTATATGAAGGCGGAAAGACTTTCTAAAAAAACCTTAAAAATCTTGAAAATCGAATCGAAAATCGCGCAGTTTGGTCGAAAAATCGGTATTTTTTGTATTTCTATCGAGGTTTGTAGTTTTCATTAAATAAAAAAGCTTAGGTGTCGAAAAAAGTGCAGAATTACTTCCGCTATTTATATGAGAAAAATTTTATTGTTGGACCCAGCTACGCATTAAAAGCCACTGATTTCGCGTTGTTAGTGCATTTTCTTGAAACATTTTTTTGGAACAAAAAATTCAAAATTTGGTTTGGTTCTTGGATTCAAAAATTCAAAAATTTTTGGAATTCTGACTTTTTAATGTGTTGTTGATTTTGTAAAAAATAATAATGAAAAATTCATAAATTAAAAATTCACCTTCGGCATGCTGGTCGACTTGGGCGGAGCTGTTGGCTATGGCATGGGCGCTTCCCAGAAAGCCGAGCAGAAGCACAAGCAGAAGCGGCCAGTAGCGCATTTTTGCCCCAGAGAAATGCCGGAATATATTTCCGTATTTTTATGCGGAAAATCATAAACATTCAAATTTCGAATTTTTTTATTCAAAATAGGCAAAAATGCTTAAATGGTAAGCTTTTTAGGGGTTTGAAAGCGCAAAAATCTCAAAAAATTGTAAACTAGTCTCTGTTTTTAAAAAGTTTTTGTTTAATTTTTAATAAAATGGTAAGTAAAACCCCAGCCGACTTAACTTTTCTACCTCCCTTATTTTATTTTTTTCTTCCTATTTTTTGGACCGAACCGAACTAAACCCACAAAAAAACCCCCCGGAGGACCATTTTGGTATACTTTAGAGCCCGGAAAACAAAAAGGGGGCCGAGAAAAAAAGTTGGTGCCGGCTGGGGGGGGTTTTCTAGACTCTTACCAATGAAATAAATGTTTTATTTATTTTCAATTTTTACGCATGACACGGCGGGCCATTAATTACAAAGCCAAAAAAATTTCGTATGTTGGACTTTTCATGAAACACATTTTTTCAAAAAAATTATGATTAATTGGAAATGGTAGTTACAAATCCGGATTGCACGCAGGCAGGGTACCTCTGGACCTTAGAAAAACGAGAATGCCGGTTTGATAATAACGATGAGAAGAGCAAGAAATGCTTTATCTTCTCCAAAATCTCTGGTTTGTTAATTTCACTGGATGTTAAATTCAGCGTTTTGAGCGTTTTATTTCACTCGAAAAGGCGAAAGTGGCAGATTTTTACGAGTTCTACACGTTTCCATTATATCACAACCTAGAAAAATTCCGTGTTGTTTGAGTAGCAATGAAACACACTTTTCAAAAATTAGGATTTAACTGGATTTTATATCTACGAACAGGAAATCCCCATCAAAATTCCCCGCTGTCAGAGCGCCTTTAGAAGCTAGCAACATCGAAAAATAACATCAGCATCCTAATAAACCCCAACTGCAATTTCCAGATATCTTACGAGCGAAGAAACATTGTTTTTTTGACATCCAGAAATGTATTAAATTTTTAATAGGGCTTCAAAAAAATAAAATTGGATATACAACCGAATCTCTATGTAAATTCAGGATTAAACCCTTCGCAAATCACAAATAAATATTTTACTTGTTTCTATACTTTCAATAAAACATGCGTTTTTTCCGAACGCTTTGCAAGGCTCTATTCCTCTAAAAGCAAAAATCCAAAAAAAATTTTTTTAATCAAATTTGAATTAAGCGCAATTTGAAATTTTAGTCTACATCAATTAATTTAATTTTAAACTAGCCTTTATTTAGCGTTTTACGATCGGAACTTTCCTGCTGTTTTTACCGGCTTTAAATTTTTGTGTATTTCCAAAATTTTCCCACATTTTTTATCGATTATTCATGCTTAAAAAAGGTTTACATCGCTCATAAAAATTATAAAAAAATTATAAATGCGGATGCCGATTTTTCGAAATAACGAATTTTGATAATAAACAATTCTTAGAAAAATTTATCTCTCTCTCGCTTTTTCTCTGTGTCTCTCTCTCTCTCTCTCTCTCTCTCTCTCTCTCTCTCTCTCTCTCTCTCTCTCTGAAAAAAGAAAAATGTTTAGCAAGTTCATAAAAATTATAAAAATAATTTTATCGATTCGGAAAAACACGTCAAATCTTTATTCCATGGTGGCGAGGCCAAAAAAAGCGATAGAAAAAGGGCTTAATGGAGAGGGGGACGAGGACAACAAGTTCATTGTGCGTGTGATGAGTTAACCAAAAAAACACGGAGCGAAAAAAATCGATAATTGAAGCGTGATCAGCCTTCCGCGGCCCTTTAATACGTCTTCTTCTTGAGGAAGCTGAACAGGCCGCGGCGGCCGGCCAGCTGGTCGTACTCCTTGCGCAGATGGAGCTTCAACTTCAGGAACGTCGGCCTGCAAAATTTGTTCTCATAATTTTGAATTTCAATAAAAACGATTTAGATCTTTTTAATCTTTTAATTTTAATTTAATTTAATTCCTAAATAAATAAATATCTAAATAGCGATTTAAATTTTGCCGGATTGTGATAATACCGAAATGATTGAAAATGCCGAGTTTCGAAAAAAAAAGAGTTTCAGAAGACCGTATTTTTCAAATGTCGAATTTCATAATAATTGGGATTTCGGATTCCATAATGACGAACTTTACAATGTCCGAATTTCAATAATGCCGAATCTTACGAATTTTCCCTCTTTCCCGAATTTCTTAGCCGAATCCGGTAATGCCGACACGGCGTAACGACGAATTACCATGATTCCGAATTTTCAAACTCCCGATTTGGATAACACCGATTTTAATAAAATCGAATCTGAGAGCGCCGAAATTCCATAATACGGAATTTTATCATGCCCAATTTCGAATCTCTGAATTTTGATAGGGCCGAACTTTCAAAATGACGAATTTTCGAAACACCAAATTTTCATAATGCCGCTTCAAAAAGGAGATTTCCAGATTTCGAAACTGTAGGCAGGCTAGCAGAGATTCCTTGCGGAAAACCGGCCCCACCGATGCTCTGGGTCGGTGCTCTGGCACAGGGCCATCAGCTTCAGCACACCGGCGGCGTATTCCGAGGGGCTCCGAGTTGCATCCCGGACAGCACGCCCTTCGCCACCTGAAAATAATTCATGTTTCAAAAAATCTTAAGAAAGCAAAAAATTTGAAATCTATTAATGCAGCACTTTTCCATCATTAATTCGAAAACACTTTATATTTGATTGCTAGGTCAACCGGGACCACCAGGAAAAAAATTGGCTTCCCCCGGAATCCTAAGGACCAAAAATTAAAAACCGGAACTCGAAAAAGACAGGGAAATGTTGAAAAATTGTGAACAGGGCAGGCTAGCAGAGAGCATTTGCGGAAATGCACCTGGG